TGCATTAGAAATAAGAAATGGTATATGCCTTAAATGGGGAAGGGGGTTAAAGTCTGCATTTCGTAAATGACCTTCAAACTAAAACAAATTTATACAGATCTTGAGATGTCATGTAAAGAGGACTTACAGAAATCTTTCAAAGTAAAAGAAATTTAAAAGGATTTCACATTTCATGTGGATGCAGAAAGTGCTTGCTATTGGGTAACAGGATCATCTAGAAATCTTATACTAACAGACGAATCAGGAGAAAAGTTAGATTGTCTTACAGATGTAAATAGCAATAGAGGTATACATGTACATGCAGTTACCCGGGTGGGTGATTTAATTTATATTGAGGAGGACTGTAACATCAACAAACTTTCTGCTTCACAATAAAACAAAAATTCAATTCACATTAGCATCAGAGCCATGGACCGCTCGGTGTATTTGTGTATCCCACTCTGCCAGATAAGTGCTGGTTAGACTGTAAGTTTACTTTTAACATATTTTATTGAATAATACAATGAGGATTTGGCAACAGGCAAGACCTATGTACACCCTCTCCTTGACATCCCTAGAATGTTTGAAAATTGTCCTGGTCTGTAGAAGAAAAAGGTGCAGTGGTGGTTCATTATAATTTCAGCGTTGAGGGTCAGGAAACCCAAAGTTTCCAGTACACAAGGTACATAAGAAACTCTCCACATATCCTGTGTATATAGCAGAGAATCTTAATGGATATGTCATAGAGTCGGATTGGAACCGTAAGGTAGTGACGGATCGGGAGAGAGAGATTCGCTTCTGCTACCCAGATAATCGACATGAAGAGCTTTCTCCTTGAGGTATTTGCACAGACTCTCTTTTACATATCCTTATTTGTAATACGACCACGTACACTGTCCGCATGCTGGATAAGGACGGGTATTTTCTTCAATATTTACTGACGACTGAAAATGGAATAACTGAATTTACAATTACAAAAATGACCTTCTTTGGGTTAGATCTTTGGACGACAACACGTCTGTGTTTAAAGCGTAAAGAAAGAAAACACACTGCATGGTAGGAATGCTCATTATGAATAAGGAAGGATATTTTCTTTTCAAATATACACTGACAAGTGACCATGATAAAGTTAAATTTCATAGCTTGAAATATATTTTCAAAATTTATTTACTCTGGATTGGACCATTGGACAACAACATTGGACAAAGTTTTAAACAAAGGAAGAAAGGCATTCCGCAAATAAGTTAAAATTGTGGTGTTTTATGCTGTGTATATAAAAACAATACTACAGGTGTAGATGAAATCTCTCGCATATGCGGGAAATTGAATTATTGTTACCGCTAATATAGATATAAAAAGGAATTTACCTTGCTCTGCTTCTGTCCTTAATAAAAACAAAATGCACAAATTTAAAACTGAACCACATTTTTGAAACTTGTTTTCGATACCCCACTATTCAACGATCACCATGCAGTAAATCCTTAGAACTGTAACCCAATCGTTTGCAGGATGTTTTAAAGAAAATAACTGTTTTTATTGCAAAGCAGTTCCAATGCAGTTATACATAGGTGAGTACTCATTTAATTAAAAATACTTAAGTTGTGGCCCTTTTTACAACAAAATCTTACGACTAAGCTTGCATTTTTTCCACTCTGTTAAAAAATAACATTGGTTAAGACAATGTAAAAATAATATATTTTTAGGTCACCTGAGTCACTCAGGTGACCTATTGCTATCTGTTTTTGTCCGTCGTCGTCCGTCGTTCGTCGTACGTCGTACGTCGTTCGTCGTCAATCGGTCGTAAACTTTTGAACATTTTCAGCTTCTTCTCTGCAATCACTGAACCAATTTCAACCAAATTTGGCACAAAGCATCTATGGGTGAAGGGGAACAAAAATTGTGAATTTCATGATCCCTGCCCCCCTGGGGCCTGGGGGGTGGGGCCAAAACCACTAAAATTAATGCAATCTTCAAAAATCTTCTTCTTTACTCCTGGACATCAAGCAGTCAAACTGTTTGCATGATTGTAATGAGCGTTGAGTCCTTTACCAAAATTGTGAAATTCATGGCCCTGGGGTCAGGGGTTCTTGTACTAGGGCGGGGCTAAATAAGTATATAGTGAAAATGCATTATTTCTTTGAAAATCTTCTTCTCTGCTCCTGGGTATTAAATAAACTAACTAAGTACATAGTTATGATGAGCAAGAGTGCCTCTGCCAAAATTGTGAATTTTATGGCCCCAGGGTCAGGGGTTCTGGTGTTAGGGTGGGGCTCTATTGATTATGTAGTGAAAATACATGAATTCTTTGAAAATCTTCTTCTCTGCTCCTAGATTTTATATAATTTCACTAAGTATATAGTTATGATGAGCAAGAGTGCCTCTACCAACATTGTGAATTTTATGGCCCCAGGATCAGGGGTTCTGGTTTTAGGACGGGGCTCTATTGATTATATAGTGAAAATACATGAATTCTTTGAAAATCTTCTTCTCTGCTCCTAGGTTTTATATAAACTAACTAAGTACATAGTTATGATGAGCAAGAGTGCCACTACCAAAATTGTGAATTTTATGGCCCCAGGGTCAGGGGTTCTGGTGTCAGGGTAGGGCTCTATTGATTATATAGAGGAAATACATGAATTCTTTGAAAATCTTCTTCTTTACTCCTGGGTATTAAATAAACTAACTAAGTACAAAGTTATGATGAACAAGAGTGCCTCTGCCAAGATTGTGAATTTTATGGCCCCAGATTCAGGGATTCTGGTGTTAGGGCGGGGCTGTATTGATTACCGGTATACATGTATAGTGAAAAAACATTAAATCTTTGAATATTTTCTTCTTTGCTCCTAGGTTTTAAGCAGATGATTTACCCATATAGTTATGAGCAATCCCTAATCTTCAAGAATTGTAAAATTCAAGGCCCCAGGGTCAGTTGTATCATAGTGGGGGGGGGGGGGAGGCTGTACTTATGTACTGAAAATGAATGAATTGTTTGAAATGTGCTCCTTGGTATTAATCAAATATTTTTGAAAAGCAAGTATGCCTTTCCAAAAATAGTGCAATGTGTGGATCTAGGCCTAAGAGTCAAGGGTTCATGTGTGGTAGCGGCATTACTGATTATTGCTGAATATTACTGATTAGTTGAAATGCATTTTTTGTTCCCCTACCCTGCCTATGGGTATAAAGTAACCAAACTAAGGAACTGCTAAGTGTATAGTTATGATGACCAGATTGTAAATGCTCTTGCATCTGGCTTAAAAAATGGATCAAATTCAGTCACTGGGAAGTTGTTGAATAATGCTCAGGTGACCTATAAGGCCCAGGGGCCTCTTGTTTAAATACTTAATATTTGTTGTATTGTAGAGGAAGATATTTTTTCAAACAGGAATATTCAATAAAATTGACATTATCTATGAATCTAATCTTTCAAAGTATAAAATCAGAGACTTAATTAATCCTTACACAGTCTATTTAATCGATAAGTTCTGATAAACAAATTCATTATCCGTGGCACGCAGTTCCTGGTAACTGGAAGTTTGATTTGTTGTTTCAAGATCTTGGTATTGTTGATCGACATCTTTAACAGTCTGATAGATTTCTGTGTCAAGGATTGCTTTTGTGCCTTTGTGGAATTTTCTCTTGATGAGAAGTGTTCTGAATAAAAAATAGATACATTTTAATGCATAGACAATTTCTGAAAGATAAATGAAACATTTATTTGGCGAAGTGTGAAGTTTCATTCCATTTGATTAAATAGAACTCATGTTAGCCATATTTTAAAGCAACATGTTTTGTTACCATGGAGCACGGTTATCTTATATTGTAACGTCAACATCAACGCTGAGAAAGTTTGTCAAAAGTATACTCATTTTTTTTAATTTCAAACACGGTTTGTAGTGTCTTCTCCATTCAAAACACATATCCACAACACTTAACACCTAGTTTGCTAACAATTGTAAATATAGCTTGAATCAGAATGTTATTGTTTTCAAATTCTTTAAATTACTATGCAACTCTATTATTTCTGCAACATTGAAGCGCACATTACGTTCAATGACATTCCTAACTCTTTTGACAATATTTTTATCTTTAACCTGTTTCTTTGCAGACAATCCATCGTCCGATTCAAACTCGCTACCACTCAAAATTGTATTTTTAATTTTATACAAATACACAGATTATTTTTCATACAGATCCTGGTTTAAAAGGATTTTTTAAGCTTGTAGAAAAAGTTTCCCGATTATAAAGTCTAATTTTATTGCTACTTGCTGCTCCGTGACGTCCTCCAACGTCATGGTTTTTTGCCTTTTTCAATCAAGTCCTTATGTATTTAGAAGCTGATATCTTTTAAATGGAGCGAGGTATTACATAACCTGATTTCATTTTAATTAATACAACAATACTTTATTTAAACATGTAAATTTTATTTCGTTTCAGCTCCATTTATTAGAGGTATAGCTGTAAATACTATAAAGTGAAAATTAGAAAAATACTCAATTTTGACTGTGCTCCTTGACCCCATTTTTGCTGTTTTAAATCCTTGGTAATTTTAATAAATATGAAGATACATTCCAATTTTTTTACTCAAATTATTTGAATCTGTTGTTAAAATATTTGTATCACATTTTGATATAATATGACGTTAAATAAAAAAGTTAGGACAAAAGTCTACGAAATGACCCTCGTATATAGTAATATTTATTAAAAATTACATTCTATGGTATACGTAAAATCGAAGGTCTCTTCATATGTCTCAAAACACGAAAATTTACCCCCCACAAAAATCTGTGATACACTGCATATCACAGTATGTAACTCATATTATATTGTGGTCATTAAATGAATGATAAAAACTTATACCTTTGATAATGACCAAATAAAACGAAAACTTTGATTTTGATGACGCAAAAATTAAAGACGAATTTAAGTACATGTAAAAGGAAGGCAGTAAGATGGACAATGTGTTTACAATAGCACCTCTACATCTTTATGCAACTTCCTAACAATATTACACAAACTCACATTCTAAAGCATTACTCTGACATCTGTCTCCCATATAGTTTTTCTGACATCCACGTGGACATTTTCCATTGACTTTGTTACATGTTTCATTATAAGCACAATGTCTACTGCATTGGTGATCGCAATTCACTCCAAAATATCCTGACAGACATTCTGTACATTTCAAAATAATATCATTTTCGAACAACACCATATAATTCCAAAACTAAAATCAAAAGATTTATAAAAATTATATTTGACACTTTTACCTTTTATTTCTCTTTTAATTAAAGATTAAACATTTACCTTTATCACAGTTTGGAGTCCCTTTCCATCCTGGTGTACATTCACAGAATCCATCAACATGATCACAAGGGTTGATACACTTTTGTGAACATATCCCGGAACAATTTTTACCAAAATGACCAGACGGACATGCTATTATTAAAGAGGAAAAATAATGATCGAATGTTTGACATGACTTAATTTATAACGAGAATTGTTAAATGAATATATCTTTGACAGAGTTTAATAAGTATAAAACATTGGAATACTCGGCTGAAAAATGACATTAAAAAGTATCACAATTGTTTTTTATGTATATTGAAAAAGAACCTAAGTCACACAATGGTCCTGTGAATCCATCTGAGCAGCCATTAGCACAAATCCCAGTGATGTGATGACAAGTCTCGTTATTGATACAATGTCTACTACATTGCCTTGCACAGTCTTTTCCAAATGTTAATGCTGTACACTCTGCAGATAAAATAACATATCATGCACTGGTTTTTAAAGTCTGATTTTTTATCAGAGGTTTCACTCTATTCCAAAGTAAGAGGAATTCATAATCTTTAGGCATTACTTTTTGAACAGTTTAAGCCCAGGAAACCTGGTTCGCACCCAAAAATGCAACGGAAATGTTGGAACATGTGCTACTGCATTGCTTCGAGCAATTTGGTCCATAGTGCCCTTTATCGCATACTTTTTTATAAAGAAAATAAAAAGTTAATTTAATAACGATAAGTAAAATCCAAACTTTTTTTTCAATAGGTTAATTGAATGGATTAATAGCAGGAATTCAAATTACTTTTGATATCAATGGCATTTTCTGTTAGTTTTACCCTTTTGACATTTTCCGCCGACATATCCATCTTTGCATCCTGAATAACATATTCCACTAATATGATTGCACTCGTTCTCATTATGGCAATATTGACTACACTTTTCTGCGCATTCGTTCCCAAAATATCCTGACGCACAAACTGTAAATTGACAATATGAACAAGTTTGATTAAGAGTATTGTTAATGTTGAAAAAAAAAACTGTATCTTGACAAATTGTTCTAATATATACAATAGTTAAGACATATGTATGAGGAAAATTGGAAATTTATGATTCTCGAGAGAGGAAACTATTTCTCGAGGCGGAGAATCAGTTAAGAAAATTGTTTCCTGTCGAGGGGAAACATATATTTGCTATATCCCGAACGTTTTATTATACAGTTTGTAAACAGAACCATTTTAAGGAGATTTATAAAACCAGATTTACTTAAGAACGTTTTAAATAATTCATTATATAGGGCCATTCGAGTAAATGCAAATTCATCCAATTAAACATATTTTATTCTTAATTCATTAATATTTAGGAAAACAGTTACATATATAAAAAGTAAAATAATCTCAGATTTCACAATTATCGTGCTTTTCAGACTGATTTACTTCCAGCATGGTGTTTGACATCGCATGTCGGAATGATTTGACGTCATAGACTCTAGATTTCTTAAAGCTCTGCTGTCTGAACTTTCGATTGTTCTAAAATATTTTGAATATATTAAGAAGCAAATGTTCCAGGGAGTAGCCCTTGATTCTACAGTCATTAGTCTGAAGATTGGGGAGGAAGTACATTCTCTGATAAATACCATTTTACATGTATATGGTTGATGTATGTTGCTTATACAATACACCCAGGACGTGTGTTTGCTGTCTTAAAATTGTCAAGATTGTAAACGTAGAAGAACAAGGTTCACTTCTGGCTTTTTTGCACCTGTGAATTTCTGAAAAACTGGAACTGTTCAATTTCAGTGAACAATGCATCAATTATCATTTAGACCGTTGGTGATTGCATGTCTACCAAAAAATGACGTAATTTTCTGGCTAGTCAATGCATTATGACGTCACGAAATGCGTCAATTTCCTCATATTCTGAAAAAAGTTTACAAAACAGCCAGTTTTTAAGATTTTTCCAAATATTCAAAGAGCGCAACCTCTGATCTAAAATATGCAACCAGTCAATGATAGAACTTTTTCTGAGCAGCACAAGACATGATTGATACTTTTTAGATCAGAGGGTGCGCTCATATTATATTTCTTCTCTGAAAGTACTCAAATATGCCTGTTTACATTAAAATTCAAGAACATTGCAAATAAAACCTGTGTTCTAAGACCTGGAGTTTAAGGGGAATAAATTTTAATAGGAAATGAAAGTACTAGGTCTCTACTTTATTCTGATGTTTAAAATGGAACATAAAGTGTTAGTCAATAAACTGGTAAATCTACATGGCTGTTTTATGCATAAAGTAAATCAAGCTCTTTATTACATATTTTGATTTAAATATTACTATCTATTTTGTTTCATTGAAAACTTACAAAATGTGATAATGCTGGAAAGAGATATTAACAAGTTGCTTATACAAGAAAATGATCCAATTGTATTATACGTTAAACCCAGTGTTCTAACTACGGTGTTCAGACCCCTTTATATTGTGACTTGAAATTGATTGAAATGATAACATCTGATTTAAATGAATGTCAACCAATAAATTGTCTACGCAGGAAGATCAAGATATCTAATATTAAATGAAAAAAATTACAACACGCATATTTAAATGAGCTAGATCACCAAAATCAGATACTTCTAAAGAATCACAATTACGTAGACTTTAGCAGTATTTACGGAAAATCTATTTTTAAATGTTATATGTGAATCACAATGAACCAGTAAAAGAAACTATTAATAAGTTAGAAAACGCTTATAATATTAATTAGAATAAGCAATTTGTAATATCCGTTTAATAAATGCCCTACATGTACCTTGATCACATTTGTCATTGGTGAATCCCAGTTGGCAGCCTTCATCACATTTCCCAGTTATTTTATTGCAGGGTTTTTCATGTAGACAGTGTCCACTGCAGTTAAACATGCAATTGTCACCATATGTCCCATTAAGGCAACCTTTCAAAATTTTATATCCTATTACATATTGTTTTTTTAATGTCAATTGAAATTTTTTTACGATTATGTTTCAAAGGTTATCAAGAATATTTTTAGACGTGTATACGTAACCCCTTTTATAAGAAAAAAAAAACTTATATGAATACAACTCAAGGCTAAAAATAAAAAACTCAAGTAAGGAAATTGTTTATCTTTAGAAAAAAAAAAGAGTTTGAAAAGGTGAAGTATAGACTAAACATACACTGTTTAACTGAAAAGTCTTTTAAACTGAGATAATAATACAATGTATACTTACTAACACATTGTCAATCCAGCATTTTAACATTTGAAAAGTAATGTACTACGAGAAAATTTCTCTAAAATAGAGAATATTTATTCTTATGGAAGTCTTTTATATTTATTCAAATGTGTTTATATTTTATTCCCAATTTATACTATTTTTCCCCGCAGATTGCCCATGGACCTCCTTATTTGTATTCTTGATAATGGGAATTTGTTTGCTTTTTCAAATAACTTTTCGGCAAACAGGTAATTAGTTTGTTTAAGGTGCTGTTTTTGTTGAGAATCTCTGTCAAAATTAATCCTGCTCAGATAACCCCTGGATTTAAAAACAAATTGCACAAAGATTTTAATCTTTTCCTTCTTTTCCTTCCTTTCCTTCCTTCCGTAGAAAACAGATTTGATTTCCCTTTTGAAAAAAAAATAATTAAGAATTCTAAAATGGTGAAAATATTATTTGAACGGTTCCATATTTTATGATTCCACGTATTTATATCTTACTCTTTTCACAGAGAGGTCCTCTCCAACCAGCGGCACAACCATCGTCACATTGACCTGTTACATGATTACAGTGGGTATTGCCTTCACAATGTCCCTCACAAATCTGCCTACATTCAAGTCCATACTCCCCGACTGGACACACTAATCATGAATATAAAATGATTTGTAAAAAAAAAAAAAAAAATCGGATCATTAGTAAAAATGAGTTTCTTTGACAACTTCGTGGAATAAACTAAGAATTGTTGATATATACCATTATCACATCGATCCCCAATCCATCCTGGCCTACATCCAACACAAGTTCCGTCCAAAATATTGCAACTTTGTTCTTGACATTTTTCTGGGCATTTAATATTGCAATTTGGACCGTATGTTCCACTTTCAGTACAGCCTTATGAATCAAAAGGGGGAAAGTAAGATAATTCATGTTTCACAGAAAAAAGTAATCAGAATATTTTCAATATCTTGTGGTTGCATGTGGAAAATATGACACGAATGATACAGGATTATTAGATATTTTCAAACGTGCGAAGCAAAAAAAAATGTTAAAAAAATTCTTTCACATGATTGGAAAACAATTATTCGAGTATAAAATAATGAAGTTTCTCTTTTATGCATTTCTCTTTGTTTTCCCTTTTCTTCTGTCTTTTTGAAATACTTTGTTAGTAACAAACCTTGTCGTTATAGTTGAGCAATAAAGAGGTAATAATAGACAATAGATTGCGAGATGAGAAACCTAGTACATGTATACATGGATTTCAAAAGCTTATCTGGAGAAACTTTGTCGGTATTAGTTTCTGTTACTCTTTTTTTATCTTCTAACACATCAGGGAGTATTTTTACAACACTCTTTTTTAAGAAAAAAAATCTGGAGATTTCCAAAACTTTTAGTATTCTCCAAAAACAATCAATTTGATATACTTTCACGCTGCAACAGAATACCACTTTTATTCAATAAATAAATAACAAAGAATCAAATAAAAAAAAAACTATAAAATGTTTATGTATACCTTGTACTTCAATTTCACATAACTCTGTAGTAGAGTATGGTTGGAAACCTTCAGGATAACCATCTGGATATCCTTCTAGATATTGCCCTTCAGGAAGTTTCTCGTTAAAGTAGATAACGTACCGCGCATGACCTATAAATGTTGTATTAAAGTCCAGGGGTGGTAACTCTGGGCCGTTGATGTAGCAACGAAAACCTTCCTCTTTATTTGTGGTGTTTGAGAAATAAGGAGAAAATCCAGCAAAGCGTCCATTTTTTCGTCTATCTTTAAAAAATTATACATTATATATATATATATATATATATATATATATATATATATATATATATATATATATATATATACTGAAAGGAAAAAGAAACGCAGGGTAGCATAAATTTCGATAAAAATTTGACCATATGACCGAAAATTACGAAAATTGGTCGGAAGGGAAATTTAGTTACTGTGCATTAAAATCAGTATTCAGAACTATTCAACCATTAAATTTATGACGTCACGTAGGGAAAACGCTAAAAAGCCCAAAACACGTGCAATTTGATAACGATGAGTTTGTAAACAAATCTTGTTGCATTATTTGATGCATATGAGGTATGCACATCGTTTTTCATTATTAAGAGACATTATGAATTTATTGCAATCTTGGCACAGTTTACGGAAGTTCAATGGGGTCTTGTTTTCGAATTGCCTAATTAATGAAAAAGGCAACAACGGTTTACTAAGCAGTCTCTTGTAAATTTTCCCCCATAAAACGTTTTAGCCGTTGTCAGAGAGGGTCTGGAGTGGTTTTCAATCAACCGTGACGATGACGGTAACGCGAAACAGAGTCATGTTACGAGCGAGTTATTCGTCCTGCTGTCTCTTAAATCGCCACCTTACTACCACAAAAACAGCCATTTATAGAGTAGATGATTATAATCAATACATTCGTACGAAATTTGAAAGAAAACATTTCTGCAATTTGGTTTTTTGTGCCAGTCAACTTACGGTTGTATTCCTCTCACTGGCGCATGCGCGCGCCGTTTGACTTAATTTTTTGCATGGTTACCCATGCTTAATATAGCCAGGATTTGACAGATAAACACTCTGATGAAATTCCATGCAAAGGAGAAATAACGCTCTGACAAATGCATGAGACAGACATTGAAGATAATGAGAGTTTTCGATTTTCACTTTTGGGGGGTATCGTCATTTGAGCTTCAATAACTTATGAATGATTAGACAAAATCATATGAGAATTTGGTTATATCTTTTTGAAAGATGATTTTAAAAGGTAGATAGGAAAACTAAAAAGTATTTTAAGAAAAACAAATTTAATTCACCTCAAAAGTTTACCCTGCGTTTCTTTTTCCTTTCAGTATATATATATATATATATATATATATATATATATATATATATATATATATATATATATATATATATATATATATATATATATATATATATATATATATATATATATATATATATATATATATATATATATATATATATATATATATATATATATATATATATATATATATATATATATATATATATATATATATATATATATATTTAGGAAAAAAATTAGAAGTAATAAAATACTAAGTTTAAATAGAGAGCATTACTGACATTCTATCAATTAGAGTGTTAGTAATTAAATCTTTTTAAATTTACAAATGAGCAGACAATTTACAAAAGTCATTTAGACATCATTTAAATAAATATTTTAAATGTAGGATTTAGGATATCCTTTTCTTTATCCTCACCATCGCCCGCGTGGCACAGTGGTTAGAGCGTCTGCTCTAGACTCGCGAAGTAAGGAGTTGATCCATACGTAAAAGCAAAGGTCCCTTGACACAGTAGGTGCTGGCACAAAAACAACGCTCCCTGCTCAATGGCCCTTAGTGCCGAGTGTAGGACAGAATTTGCAGCTTTCCATCGGCAAGTGGTGGCGTCTCCATTTGAGTGAAAAATTCTCGAGTGGGTCGTTTAACAATTAATATTTTTATTAGAAAGGAAAAAAGCATGTTTTAGTTAATAATTTTCTTTAAATAAAATTTTCTTTATATGTATTTTTTATTGTGTCGTTTATGCTGAAACAAGAATATCAGCAATCTCGATTATTTCATTTCGTATTTCGTTATCATTTCGTAATTCAGTACTATTGTCGATACAATGACCTTGTCAGCATATACAATTTATTATTATGTCAAATGCTGACTGATATTTTTCATACTTATTGTTGGGTCAATATATACACATCGAATTGCCGATGGATTTTTCTGTTGATTTGCGATCTTGACAAAGAGCAACTGGCAGATGTGACTTGTTGGCAGAAGCTAACTCCTCAATGGTAAATGGTCCTACCTCTTTTAAGCGTTCACTGTGTGCTCAGCTCAAATTTTGTATTTTTAATGGACTATTGAACGTGGATTCCGTTTGTCATCTCAATATATTTCATTTATCTTCTTAATTTTTTTAAAAATTCAATTCAATCCTTCTTTTAATACCTTAATGTGACATATTTTAGCCATAACGAAGAGCAATGGTTGACGGTTTAATTCAAACAGAGAAGGTGAGCAAAAGTTTATAATGTAATGTATTACCATCTGTTTTATACGATTTAAACAATACTCTAATGTTGTATATGCTTTTTATTCCACCAAGGTCCACATACCACCACGTCAATCTGTAACTATTTGCGTTAATTGTATTTGTTCTCATGCAACTCTCAGTGTTTCCATCAACGACATTTTGTGATTCCCACTGCCGACAGATATCTACGCTTGGACACGTCCATGTCTTGTGTTGCTTTGTTGGTTTTCCTTGCGATAAAGATTCTGTAAAAAAAAAAACACATTGGCACTGATTTTCTTCATATGCATTTTTTATTTTCAATTTTCATCTTTGAATTTCATTAAAAAAGTGATTTCATATTTGTACTAAAAGCTAGCTCTAAGTAATCAGTGATTTAATCAATTTTGAATACATAACATTTAGACCCTTTATTATCAATACGATGAAAATCAGCATAGTCCTAGAATTCTGGATTTTTAAGGCTACGTAACATGTTTGAGAACTCAACATACATACCATATGCTGAACATTTAAGAATTCCGACTATCAGAATCAAACATCTTAGAAACATGTCCGCTTAAAAACATCTTAAGTGATGTATTTGACATTTTACCTTCTGTATACTATTTGCATACGGAAATTTTATTTTCTTTCGGGCTTTATGAAATTTATTTATTACCGTGAATTTGTTTTTTAAAAAATTCCTGCTCTAATTTCATAAAGAGTATAACTACATGACTGACCCTGTGAAGATTGTAACGAACGACATTTCAAAATAAAGGAGAAGCTGATACAAAAGATACAGAGGATATCTATATTTTGTAATTTGATTTTGGCTTTATCCAACGAGTTATAAATGATGTATATATTCGCAAGGCTTATCGAGTAAATATACACCGTTTCAACGAGTTAGATAAAGTCAATATGAAGTCATACAATTATACATGTTTTTTTATTTATCTCAAACTACTTTCGTTTTTCGTACCTCCGTACTTGATAGTTCAAAAGGTCAAAGTACATTGTCAAATGTAAAAGTTAGTGCTTCTCACAAAAGTCAATATACATGCTAATGATCTTCATACATGCATAGAATTGCATTATTTTATTTTTTTAATCTAGAACTATTGTGGAAATCACATTCATAAAACTTTCTTACTAAAGTATTTGCAAAGAAATTTACTTTAAATTAAGCATTGTCACTATATTATGTTGAAAACTGTATGTCCATGCAAAGAAGATGGAAATATTGTAAGAATCTGCACTTCATAACCAAACATGACCAAACGTGAAGAAACAATTTGAAATATGTGGTTTTAAAATTCAAGTGCGAACATTAAACATTTCACGTTTGACAGTTTTCAGATGGACTAACAAAAAGAAGAAAAGGAGTATTGCATCATTGCAGTTGAAATGGACGATCAAAATCTGTAGAGATACTTTTAAAAAACTCTGTATGTGAGACCAGTTATCTGTAAATGTCAGATTTACAATAAAATCTTTGGGGAAGATACCAAACATTTCATTTTCTTAGTGAATAGAGTCCTGACGAGCGATCTTAAACATTGAGTTCCCGGGTTATGGTACGATCAAGAACCCTCATTGCTCAATGACCCTGAGTGTCGAGCATGGGTCTATATTTGAGGTCTTAATCAACATAAGTTGACGTCTTTATTTGAAATTCTCGGATGGTACATTAAACAATCAATCAATCAAAAAATTTATTTTGACCACGCTGTCTCGAACAAGAAAAGAATAAAAAGGAAAAGATCACTCTCAATGACTGTTTTCATAAGTGGAAAAAAACCTAGTATGTACGAGGGTTGTTCGAAAAGTTCGTGGACGATGCCAATCTTCGTTGTATTACTCATTCGAAATTAAAGATAAGCACGATATAAAATGTAAAAATATTTGATTTGTCTATGTTTTAAGTTTTATTCCATTCGATTCAACAGAAATCATTTTATTTCATTTTAAAATCAATATGTTTTCTACCCGCGGAGTACACTTAACGGGGATGTAACGTCAAAATTATAGCGTCAAGAATTTCTAAGAAATACTATCCCTGTTTAATTCACACAGTTTAATCCATGTCCACTCATTAAAACCTTTTTCTAATAATTGGCAGTTTTTTAAAGAATTGATCTCATTGTATAATTTCTTTTTTTAAGGTTTTCATTTCTTCTATCACTCAACTCTGCTTTTATAGGATACGCAACTCTGATGCACCTATGTCTTTCCATGACGTTCCAACTTTTTAAAAATTTTTGTTCAGATTTTTACACTTAAAGCGTAGCTTCACAAATTGTCCTCATCCGATACAGAGTCTCTGTCACTCAAATACTGCCTGTACTACTGTAAATCACCTTTTATTCGCAAGAACTTTATTTTCGCGTAATTACGCGAGAAGGTATGTTCGCGAAAATTTCATTCTCGCGAATAATAGAATCCCGAAAGATTATATAGAGAAATGACAACAAATCGTGAAAATTTTGTTTCGCTAATAAAGAGTCAATGACTATCTCGCGAAAATAAGGTGTCGTGAAAAATAAGTGAACAACAGTATTTGTTCACGCATGCACAACTCGACTTTGACATATTTTCTTGATTCCTCCAATATCTTTTGGAGTTTATTCAGGGTTTTTCCTGAGTTAATCACAAAATTGCATCGTTATCTGCTGCTCAGTGACGTTCTTAAACGTCATCGTTTTTGTAGTTTTCAATAAGGACTAGCTATCTTGTCTAGTTTATTTCTTTTCAACAAAGCAAAATATGAAGGCATAACTTGGTATACGGATCGATGTCACAATTCTTAATTTTAATCTCTAGGTTGCTTTTCGTTATTGCTCCATTTTAAAGAGAATGTGACTACAGACATTATATAGTGTATGGTCTATGACTTAACTAAATTTTGACATGCTCCACGATCCGATTTTTGCATTTGTAAAATCTGTACATGTATAAGTTTTGCATAAATCGCACTATTTTGGAAAAATTTGATTCAAATCATTTAAATGTAGTGTAAAAATATTTCAACCTTTGGACAACATATGACATCAAATAAAAAAGATAGGATAGTTGTCCAAGAACTTTTCGAACAACCCTGGTATAAGCCTTTTTCTCTCCGGAAACTCTGCGTTGCCAATGACCTGAAGCGGGTATAGCCTGAATACGGGGATATTTTTGATTTCTCCTAGACATCTCTTCCACCTCTGAACTTTGCAGGGGTCCGTATTTTTTCCCTTTTCACATACATGCATTTATTATAATTTTTGGGGGGATTATTTAATTGATATATGACTTCAACAGACTTTGCTTTTCTTATTTTTAGATTCATTTTACATTACTTACCAAACGATAGCGCACTTCAAAAACATCCTTTTATATGCGTAATTTCCAACTTGCATGAGCCCCATACATGTAATGAAACAAAAAAAGTGAGATAACGATCAGTTTTCAGGATCAAAAGTCCAATAAACAATACAAAATAAGAGCAGAGCAAACACGGACCTCAAAAACATCAGAGGTGGGAACAGGTGCCATGGGGAAGTGAGCATCCCCTGCCAATCGGTCACACACGCCGTGTGCTCCTAGTCTTGAAAGAGAAATAAATGTAAATGCGTAACCAGTCAATTAATAAATAATAAATAATTAATAAATAATAAATTAATAAATAATAAATAATTTCTTTTGATACAAATATTTCTGCTATTTTAATCTTCGTAGACTGATCTCTTGTTTATGAATAGCACTGTATACGGGGGCTGTTCGGAAATTATTGAGACACTGTGTATATATATCAAAAATACGTTACATGTACAACAATGTTCAGGCCCCTGGTGGACCCATAATAAAGGCGATAATAATTCAATTTATTGTTTATAATTTTTCAATTTTACTTTGACTGCATGTTATGTAAGTTTGTTAAAATTCTGATTAGAAATTTGAAGATCATTAAAAAAATATTAAGCGTAGTAAAAATTCCGATAACGACAAAAAAATGCAATTTGACGTTAAGGCTGAGCTGCGAAGGATTTATAATTTTGTGCAGCGCTATTTAAAACTCTTTTCCAGACTGACCAACCTGTTAAAACAATAGCAACAAGATTGCAAAACATGTTATAGGGTTTCTATTTTATTGGTTTATATTTTTTTCTGACCAATTATTCAACCAGAGTAAAATCAAAAGCTCCGGACGACCATCAATTTTGACCTAATGGAATCGATAACGTTGACCCGCGTTGCGTAAATCGGCACCGCATGATGCAAATTCATCCCGTATACATGACAACTGAAGATTTTGCACTCGAAAAGTAACAGCACACATTTTTTAACGAATCATTTCAGAAAAGAGAAAGTTCCATTTTTCTAATGTTATATATGATGAAGGAAAAAAAAACATTTCCCGATCGTTTCACATGCGAAAACATCTCCGGCTGACGTGGCGTGAAAATGACGTAGCGATGCTGCTCCAGGTCGATGGACATATGCATGTTTATAATATTACCAAAACTTATCTAATTATCCTTCAAATTAGAAATTTTGCATATTTGTTTTATTCTTTCTTTCTCAAATGTTGACGAATTTTCCAGAATCTATCTCAGCTATTTATAAAATTAAGGCAAATGTCTCAATAATTTCCGAACAGTCCTCGTACATGTATAAGAGTGTTGTAATGACTCCTTCTATTAGCTAAGAAAACAATGTTACACGTCTTTAAGGCAGAAAATATATTTAAATCTCTAGTTTGAATAATTGAACGATTATTCCAGAACATGGCGAAGTTTTGCTTGAACGGTTGTGGTTAAACAACAATTTGAACAAGGAAGTTTGAAAAAGAATTTACGTTATGCATTATGGTATTTTTGTGCTAACTTTGAGATCTTTAGCACGCAGTCGAGTCATAGTGGTAAGTAAAAACTTTAATCAGTATTTTATTTGTAAAGATAACGGTACATTAGATACATAAATAAAAACAATATCTATGTGTTTGGCAGCATTTTGTCTCGTAATCATACTAAATATAGAACATGTTTAAATGGCGTACATGTACCCTAATAAAGGGTTTTTGTAATTTAGGGATTGAAATGGGCAAAAAATACTTCATTTTTTCGGAGATTTTCTGTTTTAACCTGAATTTAAAAATGAAAACTAGAATTGTTTACTAATGAAATTTTGGCATAAAATGTATAATGATTGTATACAATGCATACTATGCAGGGAGTGGTGACCTAGAATTACATTATAACTTATGATTTATCTAAATAATCAAAAAAAAAAACATTGTATACTAAAAACTTTATTGACGTTTTTGACTGTTTGAATGAAGCTAGGATGAAAATTTTCAAAAATATTGTGATCATCAAATTCATTTCATTGA